TTTACATATGTATGTATTGGTTCGTTTATTTAGATATCTTGCTGAGAAACTGAAACCCTGTGTGCGCACCGAGCAACAGCTTGTTTTCTTGTGCCATGTATTTGGACCCTTTTTGCAGCGTATCGACTTGGAGAAGCCCAACACTGTCGCTGGTATTGCAATAATGATATATGAAATGCTTGATGTGGTCGATAAGGCGCATGGACAAGCCCCGCTCGAATACATAGACGCGATTTGTGATTTCCTGTATGTACATATCCCCAACTTATAAAAGTTATTATGCTTTCATGTAAGTGCTTTCCTTTTCAGCTACCACATAAAGTATATTCATGTCGGCAATGTCATCAAAAATGAGTCGGAAGTAATAATTAAGCGTCTTCGACCTGCTTTGCAACTGCGCCTGCGTTTTATAACGCGCTTAAATATCGAAGACATTAACACGGATAAGAAGTAAACAATAAGCTTATACATTTTAAAAGACATTAATTTTCGTAATTCATGCAAAAAAAACGTCCTTTTTCGCCCTTTTAGCCTCAATTTGCCACTTGTACAACAGCAACAGCAACAACAGCAGCAACATCCACCACCAACTCAGCAACAGTTAGCTGCTGCCGTACAACAGCAAGCGCAGCAACAGCAGCAACTTCAACAACAACAGCAGCAAAAGGCGAATATGGTGAACGCCCAGAGCCAGCAACAGCAACAGGTGCAAATGCAGGCAGGGGGCAATGCTCAACCGCAGCAGCAGCAACAGCCCTCACAACAGCAACAGTCACAACAACACCAGCAACAGCAACAACAATCCCAACAAAATGTACCAATGGTTGCAGTGGGCAGTGGCAGTGGTGCTGCAGGAGGTGGCAACGCGCCTGGTAATCATCCACAAATGGCTAATTACAATTTAATGGCGCAGCAGCAGCAACAACAACAACACCAACAGCAGCATATGGCTGCAAATATGGGCCAGCACCAACCACAACAAATGCAATACTTTATGCAAAACATGCCACCCCGCTATTGAGTTGACGTTGGTAGTGCGCATTTGTTTGGAATTATTAAGTATTGGCTAGATATTTCGCATCGCAAACGCATGTTCGTTTATAAGAAGACTTTAAAGTGTGTGTGTTTTTATATATATTAAGAAATAAAATATTTTATATGTATACGCTAAAATATATTTTAATTTTGAGTATTATTCCAATATTTTTGTTTGTTTGGTTTTTCTTGAGAGCGGCTAGACTTATTTGACTATTTTTAGTTTTTAATAATTCGCAGTCACTCAAATAGGGTTTTTTATACGCAGAAAAATTGCCGGAAAAAAGGAAAATTTTGGAAAAACTGGAAGGACTTTTTTAAAAACAGGTTTTATTTCTAAAGAAAGACCATAACTCACGAATATATATTCATATATATAACTAGATGTGCCAGTAACTAAGGTTTTATTTTTATTTTTTTAGAGTCCCTAAGATTTTTTCAAACTTATCACGTCGAGTAACCCACTGGGAAAATAGTTAAGCATATTACGAGGTAAATTCCAGCTTACATAACGCGGCCACGACTTTGTTAAAGTAATGCTTGATTTCCACTAGGCATTAAATGGCAAAAATGACAAAAATGACAAATGATAACGTCGGGCATTAAAAAATAATCGTATCATTACATTTAAAAAATAGACATACAGTTTATTTCCACATGCCATTTTTTTTAAATGGCATAAATACATTCCTTGTCATTTCATTGTCAAGTGGAAATTCGGCATAAGGGATATTCGGCAGGGAAGTGGTAAGGACCGCCGTATTAAGAGTAAGGTGCTGGTAAGGCATGTGTGTATAGGGCCCGACACAATGGTATAAGATCCTATATTGTAAGGTTTTGACTATTTACATATTTATTTTTTTCTGAATATAAACTTATTACTTACATATACTTAATAAATATATTTATACTTATACTTAAGTAAGTATACTTAAGTGCATTAGAACTACAATAAATGCGGCAGTGCGTTCTCGAAAATTTATGCATATCTGCCTATAATTATGTATAACGAAAGATTGACAATGCATTACTATCACTCGCAAATCCCATGGAATATACAAGTTTTTGGTTCATTCATTTTTTTTCATGAGTTCATGATTTTTTTTTAAGTTCGCCAGCATTTTAAAATCATATAAATCTTTAAATGAAAAAAATCATGGTACAATAAAAACAGGTACAAGCAAGGTGTAATTGTCAACTCAGGTCGGCTCTCTTTTAAGGTACTATTATGCCAAAAAATATAAACAAATGATTCGAAATGCATAAACATTTTTTTCAATTTGACTTTATAGGATGGTTCTTCTGAGAGCAATGTCAAATTCAATCACACTTTGCTGAATACATTTTGATTGTACCATGATTATTGCCCATGGTACAATAATTACAGGTAGCGCATATTCCGATCTGCCTTATTTGAAAAACATCATTGTTGCTCACTATGTTTTTATCATGGTTCTAGCTTCCTATTTTTTTATCATGGACTATATAAAACATATATAGTCGGCCGATTTGATGTAGTGGTAAGCAGTGCGCGCCTTGACTCATCAGCACCTGGGTTCAAGCCCTGGTCAAAGCAACATCGCAAAAAATATAGAAAAAGGTTTTCTTCTTAACAGCGGTCGTCCCTCGGCAAGCAATGGCAAACCTCCGAGTGTATTTCTGCCATGAAAAACAGCTTCTCATAAAAATACAATCGCCGTTCGGAGTCGGCGTAAAACTGTAGGTCCCTCCGCTAACATATTTGTAAGCGCCAATCTATTATTATTACTATTATATAAAACAATATAAACATATTATTCACTCTGTACTCAGTTTCATTCAAACTTGATTAACTGAATTTCCGTTTCAAAAACGAGTTTTTAACTTTACCAGCATTGCGTCTACCTAAAAATAATTCGTTGATTTGTGAACAAAAAATGTGATAGGCGTGCAAACCTCCGGTATTGTCTTTTAACTCCATCGAGCATGGTAAATAGCTCACGATATTTTTATAGCGTTTTTTATAAATAATTATTTTTTACCCAACGGAAATGTATCGCAAAATTTGGCATAAACCTTTACACCAAAGAAAAATTGTGAGTAACTGAAGATAGATAGACGAGATCTAAAAGACAGTGGACGTTTTCCAACCATTCAAAAACGCCAAAAAAACTGAATTTCCAACATTTACATTTTCCAAGTTGGTGCCATCGGGGAAAAAGAGTACAACTATTTTTTTTTTCTGAAAAAAACAAGTGAAGATTTAGATAGCTAACAATTAACATTGATTATTGAAGACATATAATTATCAAATTAACTTCAAGTTATTCTCGAGCCAATCATTGAATCCGAATTAGCGGAGAGCAGGTTGGACGCATATACTAGCTGAAATCACAGAGCACTTTTCCACAATCTACAAGAGCGAGACGCTGCTGTTTCTTCTTAAAACAGCATAACTGATCCTATCGACGATACTGTGTGAAAGCCAAAAACCTTCACAAACCAACTGATTGATGCTTATCAGTGTAGTTTCAGACGACTTTCGCAGCTAATCAAATTCTGGAAAAGAGGCTTAGATAAACCAATCGACGTCCGACATCTTTTCGTCGATTTTAAAGCCGATTTTAATACCACGAAGAGAAGCTGTCTCTGCGATGCCATCTCGCCTTGGTATCTTGATATACTCGCTAAACAAAACTAAAACGGCTATGGTAAGTAACAATTGGAAATGCCAAGTGAAGCCAAGTCCTTCTCCACTTGGTCTTTCCATCGCAGTGGAGGCCTCCCTCTTCTGTTACCACCAGCGGGTTTTGAGAGCTGGATTGTCGGTTTCCATACAAACGACATGGGCAAGCCAGCGGAGCCGCTGTATCTTGATTCGCTTCCCTATGTACATGTCGAGCTTTGAGCTGCTCAGAGTATTCCGTCAACTCTAGAGGCTTTGTGACTCCAATCATCCTTGGCCAATTGGAAGAGGAACGTGAGCATATTTTAAATATGGGTTCTTCGCAAACGTGCCACTGGCGCCGACATTCAAACGGGCCGAGAACCTGATCTCCATATATGAAATGCACTCTAGAAGTCTGCTACCAGATTCCCATCTTAACATTTGCAATAATCAACCGCGGCCTTGAAATCATTTAATTGCTGTAAGTACCCGCATCTCTAGCTCTCTACATTGAAGTCTTTCTTTCCTCTTTTTTCTGATACCACTCAACTGAGGCTAAGCACGATTCGAGGTTCACATTACCACTCAGAAGGGGAAAAAATACCGATTCCTGGTTCGGCCCAAATTCAACAAATTTTCTTTTGAAATGCGGCTGCCCCAAGGCGTGCGCCTTGATGTGGTCACACAAAGCGGAGGGACCTACAATTTTTCGCCGACTCCGAATGGCGATTGTATTTTTGTGAGAATTTGGTTATCATGGCAGAATACACTCGTAGGTTTTCCATTGGCTGCCAATGGGGCGACCGCTATTAAAAAAAATATGTATATATCGTCGATGTTTTTGCAAAACCGCCCATCGACCAGTTGCCAAACCGCCTAAATCGCCGTTGTGGCAAAAATGAGATTTGGTAACCCTGAAATTAAAATCGTTAAATCGTTATTAAAACAACAGATTTGTAGAATAAAAGCTAGAAAAAATACCGCCTATCAAGGCAGTACCTTCAAAGAATAAACCGTTTATTCGCTCTTCTGTAAAATTTGAGTGCCGTAAGATAGGCGGTTTTGCAAAAACATCGACGATATATTTTTTTAAGTGTGTGGTACACTGGGCCAGAACACAGGCCCTGCGGAATGGTAGCGCGCATTGCTAACCTTTACATATGTACATTAGGGCTGTTCAGGATGTAGTGAAAATGTCTTGGAATTGCATTTGCAAGCTTTATGCTTTCTGTCATGGCAGCTTTGTGCATTTTATTGTTGTGGATTTACAAATGTAACGAATATGCAATTGCAAGGGCATATGCAAAAGATCCTGAACAGCCCTATTATTTTAAAAAACTTATTTTTCAGTGGAAGCAGATGTCTTTATTCAGTAAAATGATTTACTATCAGCAGCCATTCGTTGATCACCTGGTATACACATGGCTCCAGCCGTTGCCCTTTCCAACCATTCTAAAGGTGGTTTTCAGTTTCATCTTGGCAATACTAATATTACTGCCCATAATTTATCCAGCTGTGATATTTATTTGGTCATACACTGAAGTGCAGTACATACTGAAGAAGTAAGTTTTCGAATTGAACAATATTAATAACATTTCCATACATTTAGATCATTGCCTTCTTTCCTTTCGGTCCTTTCAAATTGTCTTTTATGTAAGTAGGGACGTCGGAAAACATGGATGCATCGGAAATATCGATGTTTTGCTTCGATGCATCGAAAATTTTCCTCTTGACGTTTAAATAGTCGATGTATCGATGCATCGATGGTCTTTGAATAATGACATCTCTCTAATACATTGAATCGTCATTTTTTTTTCAATTGTACAAAAAAATGACTTTGGCCAAAAATTAAAATGGCTCGAAAAAGTTCCGTTACAAACATAATTAGCTCAGTTGCTGTAATTTATTTAAAATGTTGTACATTTTTTCTCATAAAATATTTGATTGTGAAGCATTATTGAAAAATGCTAGGCAAATTGATGCATCGATTACATATGCCCATCGATGTGTCGAAAAACATCAATTTACATTTCGATACATCGAATCAAAAAAATACATTGACGTATTTTTGCCACTGACATGTATGGAACATTTTTTTTCGTACCACTAGCCTAGACAAATCAAATATTTTGATTAATCAGATAATAGTTGCGTTCCTTATCTCCCAGAAATAGTCCGAAGTAATCAGATTTTGTCCAAAAAGCGTTTCTTAACTTGAAAACGACAGCAGAAATGAGAGAGAAACTGTGACTCTCCTCAGTCCGAAGTAGTAGATTTAGTCAGAAGAATTTTTGCTGGCAAAATCTTGAAAAGTGTCAAACTCAACTGAATTTAAATTAATGGAAATTAAAGAATATACGAAAAGTGAGAATAATCTAAAAACTAAAAAAAAGAATTGAAAATGGAAGAAGGCAAAAAATAATTGATATAGCCAGTGTTATTGTGCTTGTGCTTGTGCTTGTGTGAATGTGTTTTTAACGGACTTCCAAAAAAGGAGGAGGTTATCAGTTCGTCGGAATATTTTTTTTTTTATGTATGTTACCGCATAACTTTGGACCACGTCAACCGATTTCGATAATTCTTTTTGCATCGGAAAGGTAGTGTCTCAGCGGTGGTCCCATATTAATCTGGTTAAGATCCGATCAGCGGATATATATATATATATTTTTTTTTTATATGGGAGTTGAAGTCGGTTTTTTTTTGCTAAAAATTACTAGTTTTCCATACATTTCTATTCTTATTTGACATTAGTTTTGTTGTTGCCATTCTTTGGACTAAAAATTTGATTTTTGTATTCCTTAACTTTTAGCTGTTATTCTTTTTTGGTGAGCACATTTTGCCTACGCTCTTGCATGTTGAAACTTTTAAGATTTTAGTCAGAAAAGATAAGGAATGGTTATTACTGTCTACTAAAAAAAAAAAAAATTAATTGATATCTGAATAACTTTGTTCATTTCTATTTTAATATTGCTATTGACGTTTGTATCACGATTGTTTATTAGGAAAAATGCAAAAAGCAACAAAGTCTAAGCGGGAGAAGTTATAGCAGCTATTTCGGGGATCAACACATCTCCTCATCAGACTTCTTTTACTAGACTTCAGCAGGGATCTAACCCGCATCATCAATGTGCAAACTCAGAAGCGCTAACCACAGAGCTATGCACATCCCCTTTGTTCATTTCTTTCGAGTTTGCTTTCAATCCAAATGCATATATTTTTATATTCCCCGCAAACATATTCTGAACGTTCAGCATATCGCTAGCTTAGAGTGAAAGTCCAGTTTTTATAAAAACTCATATTTTGATACAGGAGGCTAGAGTAGTTAAAAATGCATTGTTTCGAAAAGGATAAAGATACTTGTTTTATTTGTTCTCGTTTATATTTAATGAATGGAAAATTTTCTAAAAGTATGTTCACATTATCGTAATTTACGGCTCATTTGTAATTTATAAGCAAATCATGCTGAAATCAAGTAATATTGCTTTATAAAGTCTGTCAATAAATTAAACAGAAATTAGATAATTTATCATAAATCCAAGAACCAAATAAAGAAAAAAGATTTTCATTTACTTTAGCCCACACTGTTGAGGAAATTTAAAAAAATGCCTAAAGGAATGCAATTATTTTCTTTTTTCGTACGTGTACGTGCTAATCACATATCAATAGAAATTATGAAAGAAAATGTGAACGTTCTTGATTTATGTGAAGTAATTCGATTGAAACAAAGTAATTTATGCTGTAATGTGAACATAGTTTAAGTCCAAAAGAAGCACTGAAAATCCGTAAAGGCCAAAATAGTACAAAATGTTTTATTCAAAGTTTTGCAAAATGCTTGAAGAAAATGAATATAAGTAGTTTCCTCTTCTGTAAAATCTTTAAAATGAGACTCAGCAACCTTTCAGTCTAAGCTAGCGATACATAAGTCCGAAAGGAGTGCTCTGTAATACAAAGTCTCTATGTAATAAATATGAATTTCAAAAAATACAAAACTTTACCTCATATATGAATTCTTTAGGGGTCTTTTATGATCCAAATGACACTGTAGGGACGCTAAAATAACACCAAAAAACACCAAAGCGCGTTAATTTAAGATTGGGTCGCAGAATACAGATCTGTACACCGTTTCTCTAGATCCTGTAATTTTTCCAAGATATTTTTAGTTTAATGGCCTTATTCATAAAAAATAAAGTAGCTTTATAAAAGGTTTATAAATCGAAAAATGTATGAAAACGTCAATTTATAAAGCTCTTTAAACCTACTTTATTTTTAACCGACTTCCAAAAAAGGAGGAGGTTATCAGTTCGTCGGAATATTTTTTTTTTTTTTTTTATGTATGTTACCGCATAACTTTGGACCACGTCAACCGATTTCGATAATTCTTTTTGCATTGGAAAGGTAGTGTCTCAGAGGTGGTCCAATACTAATCTGGTTAAGATCCGATCAGCGGATCATGAGATATATATATATATTTTTTTTTATATGAGAGTTGAAGTCGGTTTTTTTTTGCTAAAAATTACTTGTTTATGAATAAGACCATAAGTTTGCATGCCGAATGAAAAAAATTTAAACTTTAGATAGAAAATGTTACTCATACGCCATGTACGAGTATGATGGAGTACGACCATGGCCGATGTGGCGTATGAGTAACATTATTTCCCGCTTTACATATCTCATACAAAAAATTATTGCACATTTTCATTCGACCATTTAAAAGTGGTTTATTTGTCCACCGATTTTCATCGCTAGTAGCTTGATTTTTTGACAAAAGGACAGACTTTAATACAAATAAATAAAATAAAAACCTTTTTAATATACCACGCTTTTGTAAATGGGCTAAAAATTAGAAAATAATATTTCTCAGTCCCATAAAATGTGTTTTGATAACTTTTGATTTTGAACTTTTAGCAAAAGTCATTATAAACAATTTATGAAATTGAAAGCATTAGATTTAATTGACAATAGTCAAACAACATAACATAGACCTAAAATTTCTGCAGCGAATGTACAAATTTGAGACCGATGTTTTCGTTATTCATATACCCGCAGACATGCATACATATATTACTTTTTATATCAATTCAAGTCTATTACATGCTTCCCACGCTTTTCATTTGCAATCTCACAAATTGTTTATAATGACTTTTGCTAAAATTTCAAAATCAAAAGTTATCAAAACAAATTCCATAGGACTGAGAAACATTATTTTTTACTTTTTAGTCCATTTGTAAAAGCGTGGTATATTAAAAAGTTTTTTTATTTTATTTATTTTCTACTTTTTAATCCTGTGTCTGTATAAAATTTTGCAACAGATATGAAAATAATTTAACTTGCAGTGAAAAGAGAACAGAAAACTATTGCGCAAATACAAATTAGTACAAATAAGATTCTTATTCGATTCCTATTTGTAAAAGTAAGTATTTGCATGGTTTTGTGCATATGCCAAAATGCAAGCGACATGTTTTGTGCTCACATATGGTATGTACATACATACATACGAGCACCAATTAATTTCATTTAAAGAAATGGCTTGACGTCCATTTCCGCTGTAGCGTATGTAGTGCATATTTTTAGGCGCAATATTTAACTACTTCAGGCAAGGCCTACCGTCGAGGTTGATGTCTAGACTTTTGTATAGGAACTTTGATTATATCTCTAATTATAGCTAAAAATGGTGTCTGGTTGATAAAAGTTGATAAAAGCGTTGTAAAATACATTTTGCCCTTGTTAATGTTTGAATTTTTTTCATGAAAATATCTTTGGAAAATGACCTCATCTGGAAAAAGGTATACAGATCAGTAATCTACGACCCAATTTAAAGTTCACGTGTTTCGACGTTTTCTTGTGTCATTTCAAAACTTTATATTTTCCTTATAGTGTTATGACTCTGCACTTTGTTACAATAAAAACAATACAAATTCGGCATTTCTATCTGAACTTTTTTTTATAAAAATTATATGAAAAATATTAAAAAATAAAATAAATATAATTTGGCAGTAACAGCTGATTTTTAAGGTACACATCGCGCATTGATTTCAATAGTGTCATTATCTAAAAAATACAAATATTGTTTAATGTTTATTATTATTATTTAAATAGAGTTCACTAACTAACAAAAACCTTAAGTGCGAATTTCAAACTTTGCAGAAAATTTAGAAAATTTCAACAAAATATTAAAACAACAAACTTTTTATTACGAATTTTTAGAAAAAATATAAATGTAGAAATGCAGCTTTATGCCCATTTAATTTTAGTTTAAGAAAATGCAAGTTTCAAATAGCTAAGAAATCGCGTCGATTTTTTATAATTTGTTTACTGACGGTGTCACGCATTTTATTCCATATGAAATATGTACACATTTTATTTTTGTATGGAAGAAAATAATACCATTCCCCAAAAAAATATATATAAATCAAAGCGAACTCCTAAAAATTTGAAACTTAAACTTTATGTCGCTAGAATTTAATGGGTTATAAAACTGCATACTAAGAATTTTTCTAAAAGTTGTAAAATTTTGTTGAATTTTTCAAATTATTCTACAAAGTTTGAAATTTGGAAATACATTTTTTTCTTACCACGTGGGCTGTATTTTTTATAAACAAATAATTAACATTAAATAATCAAAAGAAGAATAGCAAAAATGGTCAAAATATCGTGTCCGTATTATTTTTCACATGACTATATCGATAGCCTGTTCGAAAACGCCCCATCGCAGAAAACTTACGGCAATTCGCAGAAACTGAAATATTTTAGTAAATACTAAGGCGAAACTACCCAAAATTAAAATTTGGGGCAACATTTTGGAAAGAAATAAGATTTTTAGAAAATTGTGAAATAAGCGTACCTGTGTTTACCTCAGTAACCGCTTAACCGAATGCTCCCGATATAAGCTATTAGGTATTGGCCCCTATGATGAGTTGGATTCGATCTTCGACTGTGGTCGAAAGTGCTGATCGAACGAATTTTCATTTGGTATTATGACGCTCGTCATAGTATATTTTTCACCTCTGAGAAAATGAATTAAAAAAGAAAGCGAGTTTATAGAAACGTGGTAAAAATTAGTTCAACGGAGTTCTGGTTCAACGATTTGTCAGAGGATGGGAGCTTAGACAACTGGCGAGGAACAGAAAACGTTTAAGAGAGTTTAACCGCCCTATTCTTACAACACTGACAAAATTCATCGTATGACTATTGTCACAATTACTGCGTCTAAAACACAATATAAACATTGCTTCGCCATTGTCGCGTTCTCAGTAGGTCATAACAATAACAATGACAATTGTCACCATATGAGAGCTTAAAAAAAATTTCCGGTATAGCATTAGACGCAATAGTAAAGACAATAGTCAGCCGCTGAGTTTTGTCAATGGCGTGGGAATAGGGCTGTAAGTGTAGTCTTTCAAATATATTTTGATATACAATATATTTAAGAAATTTTGTGATCCAAATCTATTTAAAATAAACTAAAACTATCAACAGCGCTACGATTTTGTTCTCAGAGATCGTGCCAACAGGGTATTGGGATTTTCTTTCATAAGTAAAACCAGCCTTTCGAGCTTGTGTTTAGTGTTCACGACGTTAGAACTGCATAAAATCAATAACAATTTTTTAAAATTAGTGTCTAGCCACCAAAAAAGTAAGAAAACAAATGCAAAATCATACATTTTTCGCAATTTTCCAACACTGAAATTTACCGTTATGCGGGAAGCGGGTGTAGTTTTAGTCCGATTTGAGTAATTTTCAACAAATTGCTTTTCCTTACCAAGGTTATTAAGTGCATCGAGTTTGGTGGAAATTGATAAATCGGCTACCGAGATACACATTTGTGGTCATAAGGAGTGGCGCCACGCCAGTTATCCAAAAATTTATAATAGTCTAATTTTTTGCTCAGTGGTCATTACAATAATCGATTTTGAGTCAATTAGCTTCAGTAGTTACAGATTTATCGCAGTTTTCGTGTTTCTGTAAATTACCGTTATATGGCAGGTGGGCATGGTTATTGCCCGATTTCAAAGATTTTCAACAGATTTCTTAGCTAGACCCTGGTCAAGCCTCGTACCGAGTTAGGTAAGGATTGGTGAAGCGGCTACTGAGATACAGAATTTCATCAAAAAAATACTAAAATTTCATAATATTATTTTTTACCAGAATTCTACTCCACATAGTAATTTTCAACAATTTGCATCCAATATTTACTGAAATATAAGTTTTTGCATTTTTCGAAAATACCGTTGTATGGGAAGTGTCCGATTTCGACCATTTTCAGTACCAACCAATTTTTGCTCGAGTTATCGTGTACACGGACAGACGGACGGACGGATGGAATGTATACATTTTTCCATATCTATCTCGATTCGTTTTGGCTGTTACAAACAACCGTTATGCGAACAAAGTTAATATACCCTTGTGCAGAAGTGCGCTCAGGTATAAAAAAACGGGTATAATTTTTCTACGGCATTTCTAAGATTTCGCTAAGATTTAACATTTGAGTAATCTGCTAAAAAATTATTTTTATCAAATTTTAGAGAAGTGTACCTCGCCCATTTTCAGTAATGGCTAAATAAATCATTCCAAACTTTGTGCACGCCAAAAAAATTTTAAATCGAACAATAGCCACACCCTCTTTCTATATAATGACTCATATAACTCAGAAATGTGCAAATAAGATACATTTTTATGCACGTGCGCCGTGTAAAGGAAGGTCGGTTCCGGCCGAACTTACGACTTCTTGGTTTTTTTCTGGTAAAGCTTCTACGAACTTCAGAACGAAAGCACAATCAAAGAAAAAATAGTCCCCTTTCAGACACGTCAAGTCTTGAAAGCAATTTTTTCTCTTTTTTTTTGTGTTTTCTATTTGCTTCCAGACGTGTTGAAGCAAAGAGACAAGAAAACTTGAAACGAATTGACGGTACGGAGGTTTCTATACTCTTCCCCTATCTTCCACCTCCCTCGCCATGGAACGAGCAGGCTTGAAAGGAAGACCTGACGTGTCTGAAAGCCGACATAATGAAGCGGAAATACGGTCAGTGTCCAATGTACACTGTGAACATCTTGCTCTAGTATAATATTCATAACTATTTTGATGCACAATTTTTTGCATTAATTATTTATGTAAATATATGTAGATCCTTCTATAACATAAACCATATAAATCAAAATATCACACTTGTTCACAAAAATTCAAACAATTTTCATCAAAATATCAAAATTTTTATTCAGAATTTCTAGAAAATTTTCGAGTATGCAGTAGCCCGTTCAATTATTAGTAAGGCACTCGGCACATTACGCGCCTAATCAAAGTAGAGTAATCGTTTCATCATACCGAAACGAATGCATGACGACTCGACTTCTGCACACTTGCACGCCCTGCATAAGTCACCAGCTAATAAACACTTTTT